CTGCAGTTCGCAGTAAAGATCGGCGTTGTTGGATATGCCATTGTGAACAAGTAACTTGCAAAATCCCTTCAAAATGCCATTAAACGCAAATCTTGACCGCAACCAAATTTGTACACGTGAAGCATCAACAAAATTTTTTGCTCCCTTGACAATTCTATACCGCAGCAGATATAGACAAATTATATACCGATAATCGGTCTGAATTCCTTTCATTTGACCGCCACTTTCGGGTGGTATGATGTTAGAGTAAACCCAATAATGTGGAGTGCTGTGCAAAAACATTTGAGTCAACCTGGATTCGAACCCAGATCCTACTTTATCCGGGAGCGTATGCTAACCGTTGCACCACCGACGCTCGTTTTGCACAGTACTTCACATTGTTGGGTATAATTAATAGATGCGCAGGAAGTAGACCTTTCAAATGATATGAAAATCACACACGATTCATGCGAAAAAACGACATTCCCATCCAGACGATGGAAATTTTCTTTCCAACCTAATATATTGAATAAATCAAAATTCACTTTAACTGATCGCCACTTGATGGTGTTATGATGTTACAATGTACCCAAGTGTATGGAGCTATATGTGGTATTATTGTAGCTGACGGTTTTATTCTAAGTGATGATGTTATTGTACTAGGCGGCGGAGCCCGTTTGGGTTGTTATGCCCACCCCGGAATAACAAACCAACGGTGGACCAGTGGATTATGCAGTGTGATAGCAGTGGGGTCACCTACTGATTATATAAGGGCAAAAATCCCTTAACCGCGGTGGCGGGCCGAGCATAGGCTAAGTGAGTTCGCTCCGCCACGGAAGCGCTCCTGTGTGAAGAGAGCAATAATGGATCGATTACGATTTGAGGTGAGGTGGTTCGGATGAAGTCACACGACCGTTCGGATGATGCTCCGTGATCGAACTGACTGTTGAGGTTGGTGGCAGCTGGATGCCGCCCTAGCCACTTGAACCGTCTCTGTCTAAGGCCCTCAAACCTCTGCGATACCATTTGCTCTCTAAGGTCATGGACCATCTGCGTTGCCTAAATTATCATGTAAATCCCGAAAGGATAGCAAAGCTTCGTTGGGAGGTTTGCTATACCAGTAGTGTAGAGTGGTGTGGAAAAACGTTTGCGTCAGCCGGGATTCGAACCCAGATCTCACTCTTTGCGGGAGCGCAGACCATATTGAATGTTTATAGCGATTATCGAAGTCAGTCTATAAGATGGCTTTCTTCAATGTAAAGAAAATTAAAATCGTAATTCAAGTAGGAGCAAAATTAGAGGAGGGAAAATTACAATATAAAACTGAGTGATCTTTGAAACTACCAATTTCTAGATCTGTGATTTTCTGATTTTCCATAAAATTACACACTTTTATTAATAAACCACTGACATGCGTGGCTCAAAAAATGATAACCATGCATATTGAAATTTGAGCTGTGGTCTTAAGGAAACACTCGAAACGAAAGATATGGTATATCGAATATACTCACCAAGAGCAATCGAGTGTACAACACTCTATGTTCGGTGAGATGTTCACTGGACATAGAGTATAAGACGTTCGTCGTCGCTAAATCTTAAAGTGGGACTGGAGCACCCACATAGGATTGGCAAAAGACGAGAAAGGGTAACTGCCCGACTGACGAGACCACATGGTCGAAACACGTGCATCGGCTCTTTAATCCAGCCCTCTTTACTATGACTAAGAGATTGAGTGGTGAACAAAAACACGGCCTCAGTCGGGAATCGAACCCACGTTTCATCCTATCCGGGGACGCGTGCTCTACCACTACACCACTGAGGCACATTTGCCCGACCACTCATTCTTCAACATCTCGATGTTAGCTATCAGCCACCAACCTTTGACAGGTTTGGTCGGGTATGCGATTTCGCTTTATAAACCCGTTGAGCTGATAGCTATTCTAATTACTAATACTTCGAAATTATACTATTTTCACTGCTTTTTTCGCAGTGTTATTGTGTTACTTATATGACTAAGAGACCAGCCCTCTTTAATAGACCACTGCATGCGTGGCTCAAAAAATGACTGCCATGCATATTGAAAATTTGAGCTGTGGTTTTAAGAAAACAACGAAAGAAAAATTACACACACGTGATTAGTCATCGCGATTTTTCGCAAACCACGAGTTTGCAGCGGTGACTTTTTGCCCTTTTGGAATCGATTTCTCCATGGTAACCTTGCCAAAAGTTTCTCCATGCCGATTCTTTCCATAGAATCCTGTCGTTTTTCGTCGAAGGAATCCCGTCACTCTCCTCACTTCCCGTGATCCCTCGCGAATTCCCTATTGCACAACATGACGCAATAGGGGGCGGGGCCCGACGACGGGTGGGCGGTTCCTGTGTTCGCGTCACTCGGTCCTCCACGCGGTTCTGCAGCGGTCACTTCGTAGGTCTGTTTTGGTTGCGTCGGATTTGTCTCCTGTCATCTTAAGCTTTTTATGCATGCATTGAGTTCGATGCATGCGGCATCGTCACCTGTTCAGGATTCGACGATTCCTCTTTTTAAACGTTCGTCGCGATGATGATGTTGGTGTTTGAGTGCTAGATAAAAAACTACATTATTTTTGTAGCTTGGAAAATTCGAGACTACCATATCCTTCAAAAATTGTGCGAGATCACTTGGATATTTTCCCCGTTCTCTTTGACTGCTTCTTACTACTTGCACGTTGAAATCTCTTCCGTATCTGCTTTAGGCGCATCAGAACTTGCTTAAATAAATTCGTAGAGCCGCATAATAACCTTCGTTTTGAGTTTTTTCTTAAGAGCACAGTTCAAATTTCAATATGCCTTGCAATCATTTTTGAGCCAGGCATGTCAGTGGTCTGTCAAACAGGGCTGATTAATAGAGCCCGATACACGTGTTTCGATCTTGCGATCTCGCCAGTCGGGCAGTTTACCAGTCATAGAGCTGCAGTCCTCAGGCGAAGTCCTTCAGTACTTCAAGAATGACAGTACTGGGGGCCGTATCGAGTTTGGAGTGTGCGTTTACCACAAGCAGTCGATCGATCGATAGATGGTCTTACTCCTACCAATTTGCATTTTCTCAAGGTTCCCTGGAGTTCTTCTGGTTCTCTGGGGATTTCCTGACCTTTCAGATAATTCCTCTCGTGGATTTTGAGATAACTGAGTACTCTTTCAAGTCTTGTAAGAGTTCGTGAAGCAGTAACGATCTGTTTTTTTTTCCGTACGATGCACTTTCGCCGCAGATGAGTCACTTGAGTAACATTTAAGCCTGTTGATTGTTCTGCGGAGTGTCGTTGGGATTTATGGCATCCCTCTCAATTTGCTAGATCTAGCTAGTCTTGGAGTAAGGAATTTGAAGAGTTTGGTCGTTTTCTTTTTTGGGTTACCGAGGCTTGCTCACCTTAACCCTCTTGATCCCTTTGCGGACGGGAGCCGATCGATTTTCGCAAAGGGTGCAGCGGTTTTCGATATTTGATGAAGAGTTTTTTTACTGTATAATTTTCTTTGCACACTTATGTACTTTTTTCTTGCAAATATAACTCTTACGTGCGAAGGAAAACTCCGATTGTGAATTTCTAACTGTACTTCTGACGGAACAGCTTTGTCTAAGTCGAAAAAAAAGCTTAGAGAATTGAATGGTGAGCAAAAATTTGGCTACAAGCGGAGTTGAACTTGTGTATCACCCGTATAAGGGAAGGAGGGGGGAGGGGGCGTGCTACCACTAGCGCCACCGAGGCCCGTTTCACCACCACTCATTCTCATACGAAAGACATTGAAGACTTAGTGATGTTGAAACGGTACCTCGGTGGTGTAGTGGTAGCACGCCTCCCCCCCCCCCCCCCCCCCCCTTTTCCCCATATGGGTGAAACACAAGTTCAACTTCTGCCTGAGCCGAATTTCTGCTCACCATCCAATTCTCTTAGGTTTCTTCAACGTTGGAACAACCTGTTTTTACCTAGAAGTTTGATAGTTCACCAGTTGGTGGTGAAATGGCACCTCGTGGTGTAGTGGTAGCACGCGCATCTCTGCTATAGGTGAAACGCGGGTTCAACTCCCGCTCGAGGTCGAATTTTTGTTCATCACTCAATTCTCTTAGGTGTACTGGAAACATCATACCCTTGCGAAAAATGCAGTAAAGACATTAGAAAACATGAAAGAAACCTCTGAAGAGTTGGATCAGCATGATTCTCATCGACCGCAGAGGCTCAAATTCTAGTCTTTTGTATCTGTCGAGCGAAGATTATTGCCTCATCTTTCTAGTCAATCTTCTTTTTTTTCTATCTCAGCAATCTACCGTTCTTTCAGTGTTTCTCGTGTTACTGTTCATTTCTGTCTAATTTATACTTCCAAGTGTTTTTCAGTTCTCGGGACCGGCTGTGGGTCCCCTCGAGTAAGAGGAGTTAGAAGAAGCGGTCTCGTCGTCGTTTTCCGTCGTCATCGTTTTCCACTAGGTGTCCGCCGAGTGGTCAGTTTTGCCTCTTTTCATTCGACTGATGTTTAGACTTCGTTAGAAGCTGCTACAAATATGCATATATATATACGCGTATATATCATATATAATGTTTATATATGTATTATCATATATATATATAATACCCCTGTTTCACCTGTCGTCCCGTGATCGTCGAGTGACTCGAGCGGTACAGCAATCTTCCATTTTTACTATCGCGTGCAAAGTGCAGGGGTCTCCCGCTCTAGGGATCGCTGAGCATCATATTGTCTTCTATCGCTTTCATATGTACATATTAGTCACGCATGCTATATGTACGTGGTATATGCTATGTAGTACGTATATGATAAACATGTACACGTGTATATGTATGTCCATTTAGGTATATATACGTACATAGACATGACGTATACATACATGTATATATGTGTATCTGTATGTATATGTGATAAGTATATGGCATGTATGTATATTCATCTCCACAGACTTTATTGATCCATTTACTAGGTTTGGTATTGCATCTTAGTGATATACGTACGTTTCTGTGGTTTCTCCCCGTCTCGCCAGTATCGCCCACCCCGTTCTAAGAGTAACAGAGGGCGAAGTACCTTAGTGCTTGTCAAGTGAGATATCATCGTGTTTCACCGTCTTTCTTCCCGTCGTGTTTTTTCTGGGACTGTTATTTCTCGGACGTACGTATATCGTTAAAGGCTCAGAAAAACCCAAAAGCATAAGGATAAGGAGAAGGTAAAGCTCTCGCATTGATCAATCCCTGAGGGATGCGCCATTCATTCGTCTTAGTTTTAACTTCTTTTAGTGTTGAATACATATCTGGCCTTTAAATTGACTCGCGGTGGCCTCCGCTGAACGAGTCAGGTGCTGGTTAACTTCCCAGACAGTCTGAGACCTCTGTGTTCCAGTTTACCGACCCCGGAGGATGGATGTCTTGGTGAGCTATGAGCGCGAGAGCGCGATGACCTCGTTGCGACGCAGTACACCTCTAACCACTGCGCCACATGCGCTCTAACAAAAGGCCTATGGAGGTATAATATAGAAAAATAAGTTTTAATGTCATCAAATTCCGATGTAGCGCCACTTGTTGTTTTCTTTCCAAAGTCTTCAGATGGTAGACCTTGAGAGCCAGGTATCTTGCGTGGAGATCAGCTGACTAGTGAGACAGTGAAGTCAGTGATTTTTTCAGGTTCTTGTCTCCACATTTCTGAAAGCTCGCATTTTGTCCTGTGAGGAAACCGAGGATTTGTACTACTGTCCGTCAAAATGTTCAACATGCTCTCCAATACGTACGACTTTACCGCCTGCGATGGTGTCCCTCGAGGAGGATATCGTTTTTTGCGAGGAGCTCCGTGGCCACGAGCCCGTAGTCCGCCATCGCGCGGCGCAAGTTCAAGACATGACAACGCAGAAGATACGACCTCCTTACGATATGCAACAGAGGTACGGTTACTGATAAGTAGGGTGTCTCGCTGAGCGAAAGTCGGAGATTATTTGACTTTAGCTATCTCTGTCCACAAGAGGAGTGGATAGATCAGATAGGTACGGAGGAGTTCGTTATGACCACACCGAAAGCACTGACTATGAGTCGTCCGTCAAGCAACACGTCGATTATGAACGGTATGTTTTAGTTCGTTCTCGATTTAAACAATAAGTTAGAAATCTCCGACAGCGTGAAAGCAGTTGTAAACTTTCTTTTACGCCAGTACTATATAGGGTTTTTTTTAACCCTTTGAATACGACAGAGCCACGACGTTAGCCCCGTCTCGCCGCCCGCGGCGAGCAGTGGTGCCGACTGGCCACCGGGAAGAAAGTTGTTGGTTCGCTTCCCTACCACGACGCTTCACAGCTGATTTTTGGTGTTGATTAGCATTGAAGGTTCTTCTGTAGATGTGACTGTAACAAAAGAAAGGTCCAGTTGTCTTACAAATCACAACATTTTTGTATGACAAACGTAATCCATTTGGTAATAGCAGAACCAACGCGCAACTTCGACAAATACTGGGTGCATTCGCTCTATAGAAGCTCTTCTAGGACGTTCTGCGCTCTAGAAAATATGATTCCAACCTCGACTTCTTACAACATTGTCGAAAGAAATGCGGAAAAGCTGGATGTACGTTAATATCTCATAAATCTACGTTTGTATCAAAAAGTAGTGAATGTTAGACAACTGATTGTTTTTTTTTTGCTTTATTATCTATAGACCTTTCATTATTATTTGAGCCAACTTCTCATGTGGTCTGGTAGGGGCTCTTGCTAGCAGCCCGATACACGTGTTTCGTCCTTACAGACTCGTCAGCCGGGCAGAACCCGTCGTCTTTCGATCTTTTTTTTTGGTCAGTTCTCTCGGGAGCCCAGTCTCTCCCTACACAGAGTCATCGAAAGAGTAAGAAACCAAAGAGCAATCGAGTGTGCAACATTTTGTGTTAGGTGAAAATTTCACTTGACATAGAGTGTAAAACGTTGGTCTTCGATAACTCCATGCAGGAAGAGCTGGGCTTCCGAGAGAACTGACTATAAAAGAACGAAAGACGACGGGTTCTGCCTCGGCTGACGAGTCTGTAAGGACGAAACACGTGTATTGAGCTGTGCAAGAGCCCTTACCAGACCACATGACAAGTTGGTTCGAATAATAATGAAAGGATCTGTTGAAATTTGAGCGTGGTTTCAACTATTTTTTGGAAAAAAACGCTGTATAAAATGGTTGACTCAGATACTACGAGATTTTCTCTATGCGTTCATTTGCTTTTCGTGTTTCCCGCGAATTACGTGCATGAGAAAAATGAATGCGCCCGGAGGGTGTGAACATAATTTTATTTCGAATGCTACAGCGTTACAAAAAGGGTGTTTTGGAAAACCGGCCATGTACGGCTCAAGCAAGAGAATTAGGCTTTCGAATGATTACTAACACTCCTATGAAAAATTCTTCTCTAATAAATGAGATTCGATATTCATTGATGTCCGTCTAACATGTAAGTAGCTCTTAGTATTTTTGGTTTTCCAAAGCATAAATTTTATAGCAAAGTAGCATTCGCTTGTCTAATTGCACTACTTTCTGATGCGATACGTAGACCCATGAGATACCAATGCATATCCAACTTTTTGCATTTCTTCCGACGATGTGGGAAAAGTCGCACATGGAAAGATGTATTTTAGAGTTTAGGACTACCTAGAAGAGCTTGTTTACTTGTATAGAAGTGCATGTAGTCAATATGCCTGATAATCATTTCCTGAGCCACGCATGTCACTGGTCTGTCAAGGAGGGCTGACTTAGAGAGCCCGATACACGTGTCAGTCAGCCCTCCTTGACAGACCACTGACATGCGTGGCTCGAGAAATGATTATCAGGCATATTGAATCTTTGAGCTGTGGTCTTAAGAAAACACTCGAATCGAAAGATATGCATGTAATCAGTTTTATGGAGCCTTTGCGTTGGTTCCGTTGTTACCTCATGGACTACGTTTCGTTTCAAAAAAGTTGTAATTTGTAAGACAGCTAAGCTTTTTTTTGCTACAATCACACCTATGAGAGAACCTTCGATACTGATCGGAACCAAAACATCTGCCGTGAAGCATCGTGGTAGGGGAACGGACCAGCAACCTTCTTCGGATGTCACTTACATTCGGGACTACGGACTTCTCGTTGGCGGGCTAGCGCCGTGGGCCTGTCGCAGTCAAATGGTAAAATTACATGTAAACGATTAAATGGAACATTATGTTCTGAAAAAGACGTGAAATATTAGCTTTTGTGTTCAGATTTCTGAAGCATACACTGTGCTCATGCTTTGGAGAAACAAAAGTAAAAGAAAAAGAACTGATAGGGTGGGGGAAAAGTTATGAGAAAATGCTTGTAAAACATTTATTTATGCACCTATTACACCCGAACAAGGACAAAACTAGTAGTCAAAGTACTCCCATTCAACTTTAAGCACTTCCTGCCACTTTCCGGCAAAAGATCGATTCCGCGAACCCGATCGATCAAATCTGTGCGTTCAAGTGAAACCGTTACATTTGAACCCATCAGCCATTCGTGCATCATCAATAACCTAATTTGCTCTCTTGCTAACTCCATCTAGAAATAAGTAAATAGATCATATATCAATAAACGCGGGAGAAAACCGGCTTTCAAATGAGCCCAGAAACATAAAAAATGGCCCACTTAAAAAAAGTTACAAGCATTTTCTCGGAACGTTTTCCTCAACCTATTAAGTAAAGATGTCAGTTTTGGGATTAGTGTGATCTGACGTGGGAGATATAAGCATAACAGACATTTTCCAGAATGTACAACAATAGAGTGTCCATCGGATGCGTTTTCTTCTCTTTGATGTCACTGAATGGCCCCAGCAAGATCTTTCTACTTGTGAAACGCCTCCGTACTCGAGCGATATGTACGCCGACTATTTTCCAGATAACTATGATGTCGATCTTAACGACATAGGCACATCGTTTGACTGTGATATCAGCACACTGGACTCATATCTACACAGTCCGTCTTGTAGCAGCACTACTGACCTGCCTCACAATCAGCCATGCTCATCCACTCGAACTCAACTGTCTTCTTCTACCGAGCAGTCACCACTAGCATTTGACAGCAGTACTGTCGAAG